TAGTATTGAAAAATTCATCATACCATGTGAACTTCAACTCTACGTCTTCCTCAGCTACCACCACAAGTCAGGGCCTTTCCACTTGCTCTCTCTGCCTCAATTACTCTTCCTCAAAGATAAAGGCATTTACATGGCTTGGCTTGCTTAGCAACAGCTCCAGAACAGTAGGCCACAGAGAACTAGTTTGGAAAACACAGCTCTACAGAAATATTTAAACAGGAAACCCAACCTTGAAGTTGTTTATAACAACTCTGTCTTTTAAGTTCAACTCACTTGAAACTTTTAGGCAAAGTAGTTATATTCTTTTCTTTTTTGAGGTTTCTTAGGTTGGTTGCATACAGTAATTTATTTACATTATGTTTCATTCAGGTACATAGTGTTTTATACAATCTTTTATTTACATTGATTTACACTGTGTGTCATAAAATCATCCATATGTATTGTTGTTGTTGTTGTGCACTGTCGAGTCCCAAATCATAGCTGACCCTCCAGTGGCTTTCCAGAGACAGTTAATCACCCACAAGGAGACTGTCCATCCTTCTCCTGCCCAAATTTCTATGTATTGTATTTTATATAATTAACTAATATTGATCTTATTTTAAAAAAACAAAGAAAGAAAAAAAATATCAGACATGTCTTCCATGACAACTTTCTTCCTACTGATCTGAAAATCAGTGATTTGTTTCTCACATGTAACTGACTCCGTAGGGACATTGCCATTCATTTTCAAAACACTGTCAGAAGGTTTGGGCTCCCATCTTTCACACAGCACTCCCAGAGAAAAGATTTCATTTATCTCCACAAAATTCCTTCTCTTTGGAGAGAATTTATTTTTAAACATCAATAAAATATTAACCTTTCAATGGAAAAATATATCATGCTTGGAAAAATTAATGTCTCAAGAAAGGAAGAAAGACTATCAACAAAATGGACTGATGCAGTGACTGTAAGAATGAGGGCAGTTGCTCTGTTCCCTGTTGTATTAATTATATGGAAGCATTTAAGCACTGTCAAGATAGTGTTTTTCTTCTTCATAGGACCTTATGATATAGCTTTATTTTTTCCTATTAGTTTTTTTTAAGAAAGAAGAAGAGATTGAAACCTCACAAGAGTATATTTAAGGCACTCCTAATATTCTTTTTTCCTTTTCTTCCTTTTCTTCCTTTTCTTGTTTAACACGAAAAGCACTTTATTCCTCTGTTTTATTTTGGTTGTTTTTCAGGGGTTTTTTAGATCTTCTTGTATGTTATGTATCAAACATTTGTTTGGTATCCGACTGAAATATTTCATGTTATAAACCCAGGTCTGCTCAGGTCAGGGGAATTGGGACCATTGCATTCTTAGCCACTGTTACAAAAAAATGTGAAGTAGCTAATTAAAACATTAAGTTGTAACATGCGTATGTTTAAAATGGAATTGCAAAGCAAAAAGCTGTGAGACGTCTTGTCTTCTCTTTATGTATGCAGCTGACCTGTCTATCTGTTACTGAAGTATGGATCTAAGGACTCTTCTCCAGCCAATTGGCATCTGTTATTCACAAAGATTCTGGACAGATGTCACGACAGACTCCTCTCTGTAATATCATAGTTTTGTTTAAATAAATTGTAGTAACAATGGGGGGGGGAAGGAGTCAAGTACATCAGAGACAGGATTTAGATTCGTTGCTATAAGCGGCAGTCTAACAATAGTGACAGCATCTAACAATAACAATGCCTGTAGGAGTGGCTGACAGAGTTCTGTAGGAGTCTCTGGGTGGTATAAATGGTTAAATGCTTGACTGTTAGTTGAAAGGTCCATGGTCCACACTCATTCAGAAGTGATTCTGAAGAGAGCCTTGAAATCCCTGTGGAGTAGTACTACACACACACACACACACACACACACACACACACACACACTCACACACTCACTGTCAGTCAGAATCAACAGCAAAAGACAAAGACCTTCGTCATCCTGAGAAACTCATCACAGGTGAGTGGCTCTTCCTGGGGAAGCTGGCAGAGAGGAGTGCAGCTCATTTCTTCTAGAAGGGCGTCGATTCGGAACTCAATCAAATCCCTGACCCTGTCCAGGAGCAACTCCAGTTCCTCTATGGGAAAAACAAAAAATAAAAAGTAAATACCTAAAAAATGAAAAAAATACAGAGTCTTGTTAAAGAAAAAAAAATCTACCTGTGATTAAACGACCCTAGAACAATCTGGTTTAAAGTGACTTGGTTTAGTATTAGTTTACATAATGTCTTCTGAGTTTGTCACATTTCCTTTTCACGCACTGTTCCTTGTTTGTTTTTCTTTTTATTGTTATTTTGGTGAAAGATTACAGAAAGGTTGCATTTTCATCCATTCTTGGATACCCATGTTCCTCTCTTGCCCTCTGTCCCAGAGTCTTAAACCTGCCTAAGCCTAACTCATATTTGAAGACTCAGCTCAAACCTCCCTCAGGAAGCTTCCCTGGACCCTGTGACACCTGTTCTTTTCCACTGCGGCTTACACATCCTTCTGTTGCTTCATAGTCTGCATTGTCTACACGTCTTATCTTCTTTAGGACTTAAATGACTTTTCTTCTTCTAGAATTTATCTTTTTCACCTTTGCATCTTCAATACTCCCACAGTGCTTATTCTACCTTATAGGTATTCAACACATATTATAAACCCAACTTGTCCACATTTTTTTCCTTTTGTCACAATTATCATTGTTGTTGTTGTTATGTGCCGTCGAGTCGCCTGCGACTCATAGCGACCCTATGTACAACAGCCCTAAACTCCGCTCTGTCCTGTGCCAATCACACTGTCTCTGACACTCCCATCCCAATTATCCCAGTCACTGAATCAATCCACCTCATAGAGGGTCTTCCTCTCGTGCGCCGTCCCTCCACCCTCCCAAGCATGATGTCCCTCTCTAAGGACTGGTCTCTCCTCACAACATATCCAAAGTATGTTAGACGGAGCCTCAGAATCCTTGCCTCCAAGGAGCCACCCGGTTTAACCCTTTCCAGGACAAATCTGTTTGTTTTCCTAGCAGTCCATGGTATTCTCAGTACTCTTCTCCAGCACCACATCTCAAAGGCATCAATTCTCCTTCTATCCTCCCTGGTCAATTATCATTAAGCACACATTTTTTTTTCAGTTGTGCAAGGACACCACTTTAAAGACTATGGTGTGTCTTGCCTAAGCCATGGTATTTTGAATTGAATGATAGGTGGATAATGACTGAGAAAGACCAAAGAAACATTGATGCCTTTGAATTATGGCGGTGTTATTGTTGTTGTTGTGTGCTGTCGAGTTGCCTGTAACTCATAGCGACCCTATGTACAACAGCCCTAAACTCTGCCCTATTCTGTGCCAATCTCACCATCTCCAATACACCTGCCCCCATGACCCCAGTCACTGAATCAATCCTCTAATTAAGGGTCTTCCCCTCCTGCGCTATCCCTCCACCCTCCCAAGCATGACGTCCCCTCCAAGGACTGATCCCTCCTTGCAACATGTCCAAAGTATGTCAGATGAAGCTTCAGAACCCTTGCCTCCAAGGAACAGCCTGGCTTCACCCTCTCCAGGACAAACCTGTTTGTTTTCCTAGCAGTTCATGGCATATTCAATACTCTTCTCTAGCACTGCAGCTCAAAGGCATCAATTCTCCTTCTATCATTACTAGTCATTGTCCAGCTCCCCAATGCGTAGCAAGTGATTGCAAAGACCATGGCCTGTATCAGGCGCAACTTAGTCTCCAGACTGACATCTTTGTACTTCAGCACTTTAGAAAGGTCTCTAACTACAGACCTTCCCATCGCAACATGTCTGAATTATGGATTATGATGGAATTATGAATTATGGATTATGACTTACGATGGAAAAATATCAGCTATACCAAGGGCTGCCAAAAGAACAGACAACTCTTTCTTGGAGACAGATTGCCTTGAGAGTTCCTTGGAGGTTAGGATGATGGGCTTTTTTCTCACATACTTTGGTCATGTTACCAGGAGGGGCTAGTCCTTGAGAAAAGACATGATGGTTAGAAAAGTAGAGGGTCAGTGAGAAGAGGAAGACTGTCGACAATGTAGGCGGGCATGGAGGCTGAAGCACAGCAGACAGCTCGGGCATGGTGCAGGACTGAGCAGTTTCATTCTGTTGTATGCAGGATGGCTGAGTTGGATCAGGACCTGTTACTGGAAGACGCTACTCCTGGACATCATGCTTGGAAAGGTTGGGGGACGGCAAGAGAGAGGTAGAGCTTCAATGAGATGGACTGACTCAGTGGCTGTAGCAATGGGTTCAAATGTGTCAGTGATAGTGAGGGTGGCACAGGGCAGGACAGGACAGGGTTCAGATCTGTTCAGAGGACTTATATGAATAATACCCAACACAACACCACCTAACAACAACAACATCCATGGGGTTCTTGTGTCATTGTAACGCTAGTACTCAGTTGCTAATCAGAAAGTGAGCAGTTGAACTCACTGGCTGGTCCATGTGATAGTCTACTTCCTTCAACATTTACAGCCTTGGAAACTCATACAGGGGAGTTAGACTTTATCCTAGATGGTCTCTTTCAGTCAAATTCAACTCTGTAGCAGTGGGTCTAAACTAATATTGAACACTAAGTTCCATGGATTAATGATCAATTCTGAAAAAACTAACAAAAATTTACATCAAAAGTACACAGCATTCAGGAACAACAATTTCAAAAATTACTACATGGAACAATTTCAAAAAGTACTACATAACTTGGGGGAGACTGGACAGCAATATGCGGAGTGGACTAAATCAGTCTCATAAGGACAAATACTGCATAAGAATATTATTGTAAAATAAAAGGATAACTAGTAAAAGGAAGAAGAGGAGAGAATAGGGGTAAGGATGGGCAGGGGAGAAATCACGAGTTCACACAATTTGGTGAGTGGAGGGAAGAGGTAAAGGAAATTGGGAAAGAAATGGGTATATAAAAAGACAAAGTAATGATGGGCATAGGTAAAGGGTGAGTAATTTTATAAAACACAATGAATGAAAATAATTGTATGAAACACAATGTGAATGAAGGATAGTGTGAAATACAATATGTCCACATTTTGATTGCACATCAATAAAAAATAAAACTTTTTTAAGATGGAAATGATGCTTAGTTTCTATTCAACCAACAGTGTATCTATATGTCAGCAATGAGATAACATTTCATAAAAGCTCTCTTTTCTACTACTAGGAATTAGAGTTGACATTTCATACAAGAAAGTTATTGTCATGAACTCCGGTGTGTTGGCTGATTGGGGGTTGAAATGCTAACCATGAAGTTAGTGGTTTGAATCCACCAGTCACATCCAGGAGAGAAGCTGACAGTTCCTCCACCTACCATCCACCAGACACATCCAGGAGAAAGACTGGCCGTTCCCCATCCACCCAATCACCATCGGAGATGTACAGCTTCTAATGGAAGATCATTAGGAGTCTAACTCAACAGTAGGGAGTTTAGTTTGGGTTTTTGGGGTCAATGAGAGGTCAGAGGAGGAAGTATGTGATACAAAAGTCAGTTTTCCTGAGAGTGAAATTACTCTGGGCCACAGGGCGTGGAGAGAAATGGGCCATGATTAGGAGAAAGTAGAAGTTAATTGAGGAAAATAAACTAAGTCTTTCTGAAAAATGGGGGAAAAAAACAACCCAACAACTTTCCATTGCCTTGTTCCAAACTGTCTTATTATCTACCACAGAGATTTGTAAGGTGTTAATAGGTTTTCTTAAAAGGTAGTCCTAGTAGCACAGGGCATAAAGTACTGTACTACTCACCAAAAACCAGCTATTTGATCCTCTATCTGTTTTGCTTTAAAACAGTGAATAAAGTCCACTTCCAAAGAACCTGTCCACTTGGAAGCCCTAACAGGCATTTGAGCTCTGCCCTCGCAGTTGTTACGAGTTGGGAATAATTTCACAGCAGTGTTGTGTCTGTTTGGGTTTTTTAAGAGGTAACCAAGGATTCTGGGAACTATGCAGTAATCCTGTTTTGGAGTCCCACAGGATATTAGTATATTGAAGAAGAAACTAGTTTGGCATTTGTTTGACGTGAATTTTCCAAACTTGCTTGGGAGCAGACCACTTCTCTGCAACAACTCAATATATATTCAGGAACATAGTGTTTTAGGGAATCTACCACCTTACACATGTCTCTCACTAAGGAAAGATAATGCACTAGTTTAATCTTTCTCAAATTCCCTATTCTTCAGTATTCATGTTCTCTAAATTTCCACATCTTTTTTTTATTTTTTAGAAGTTTTATTAATAAGTTTATGTAATTCTATGTATGTATGTATGTATGTATGTATGTATGTATTTTTCATTTCAATGAACATCTACAGAGATTTTGGAATTCCATTCATTCATTGTTGCACCCTTCTCCCCACCCACCCCCCCTCACCCCACCCCCCAACCCCCGTTTGCTCCTCTCCTTCATGGTCTCAAAAGATACTAACCTCTTAGTGTACAAAGCTGAGTGACCCATAACATCATTTAAATGTTAATATAGAAGAGTAAGAATAAACAAAAACATGTGTATAACTTCTGGGGTTAAAATTAAATTGCAAAAATTGGAACTATCCATTAAATTACTTAATTCTTCTAGTTTGGTAAAATTACCTATTTTATTAAAATCCCTCATTAATAATACCCAAATACTTATAAGTAATGATGCAATAACAGATGTGTAAAGACATCAGTTTTAACACTGAGACATTTTGACAGACTTACTGATCTTTTCAAACGTATTTTCTAAATATGCTTCAATATTCATGGATGTCCAGTTCAGTGCAGCCAAGCCAGGTTGGAGAGCTTCATCCACTTTCGCCAAATGAGGGGCCATCAGTTGCTCTACGGTGGGAGGCATTTTTGACTTTACTCTCTGATATTCTGCCAGCATCAGCTAAAATTAAAGAAGGATTAAATAAATAAGATCACACTTGAAGTATCTAATAAAATCTCTGTATTCATACAAAAGAGATAACCATTTATATAGTTATTATCCAGTAGTACTCGATTTGATGGCATCTAAGAATAACAACATACAGGTAATAAAAGACAATAAGAACAGAAGATGAGGAATCCTAATTACTACATTATTTCTCATTCCATCCAAGTTATAAGTTCTCACCTTCAGCCCTCAGGCCAAGTGTAAAGACTGATTTGTTATTAGAGTTACAAACTAAATTGTCAGTTTGTTGTGTTTCGGGAGAATATTGGTGTACTTGGTACAGCATGTGGCTGTCTGATGTCTGTACTAAGGAAATTTGTGGGTTAATGTGATAATGAAAGTTATGCCATCGGTGTGTCAACTATCACAAGGATTACTTATGGTGACAGGTTTCAGTAGAGCTCCCAGATTCAAACAGACTGGGAAGCAGGACTGGTCTTCTACTTCTTAAATAACAGGCTTCTGAGAATCCTATAAACAGAAGAGGAACACAGATACTTATAGTAGTCGTGGTAGGACCCAGATTGAAATCAGTTAAAATGAGGAAAAAAATAACGGTAAGTATCTTTTAATAATTGGAACATGGAGTGCACTGAATGTTGGAAAATTAGAAATTGTGAAAACCAAAATGGAACACATGACCATAGACATACTAGGCATTAGTGAGGTGAGATGCAATGAGATGGGATGAGATGGACCAGCTTTGGCCACTTTGAATCAAATAATCACGTAATATACTATGCTGGGAATGAAAAACAGAAGACGAATAGGGTTGCATTCATAGTAAAAAAAGTCAATTTCAAATTCTACTCTGAAATACAATGTTGTGATAGGATATTATCCATACACATAGAAGGAAGACCTGTTAATACGACTATTATTCAAATATACACTCCTACATCCAGAACCAAAGAGGAAGAAATTGAGAATTTTTACCAAATTTTGCAGTCTGAAATGGACCGAACATGCGATAAAGATGTTTTAATGCTAACTGGGGACTGGAATGTAAAAGTTAGAAACACTGAAGAAGGAATAGTAGTCAGAAAATATATGCTTGGTGATAGAAATCAGGCTGGAAATAGAATGATCGAATTTTGTGTTTTCAATTATTTATTCCCACAAATACCTTTTTTAAAAGATACAAACTGCAACTGTACACATGGATCTCACCTGATGGGCTGAGTAGGAATCAGATTGACTAAATCTGTGGAAGGAATAGTTGGAGAACCTCAGTATCAGCAGTCAAAACTAAGACAGGAATGGACGATGGACCAGATCAACAGTTACTCATGTCCAAGTAAACTGAAGCTGAAGAAAACGAAAACAAGACCACAAGAAGCAAAATATGATCTTGAATCAATTTCATCTGAATTTCAAGATCATTTTAATAACAGATTTGAAGCATTAAGCACCAATGATCAAAGAGCAGATAAGTTGTAGGATGATATCCAGGGTATCATCCATGAAAAGATAAAAAGGTCATTACAGTCACAAAAGGACAAATACTGCATGGCGCCTCTGTTGTAGAAAGTGACTGACATCAGGGTTGGGGTAAGACTGAGAAAAACTGCACAGATTATGTATACTGAATTAAAACAGATGAGAGACAGAATAGTTTAAAAGTGATATATGATAGCATATTAAGATTATCCAGAATTAAGGTTGCATAGTAGAGTGCACTTGGGGTGGGGGAGGAGGCTGGGGCAGGGTCTGGGGGATTGTATACCAACAAAGAAATTTATCTTTTGCTTTTCAAAGAGAGGAGAAAACTGGGGGGGAAGGAGGAAGAGAAAAAAGTACAGCAATGAATGAATGAAAATCCAAAATCTCTGTAAATGTTCATTAAAATTATTAAATAATTTTTTTAAAAAGTCATTGGGGAGGGGTGGGCAGGGAGAAAAGTGCAGCAATGAATGAATGGAAATTCAAAACCTCTGTAAATGTCTATTAAAATTAATTAAAAAAAAAGTCATTAAAAAGACAGGGGCAGGAGGAGGGGAAAACTGAAATGCATGATAGAAGAGACTCTGAAAAATGCACTAGAGGATCAGGAAGCCAAAACAAAGGGGAAACATGTCAAAGTAAAAGAGCTGAACAGATTTCAAAAGAAAGCTCTAGAAGACAAAGCAAATTATTATAATGGAAGGTGCAGAGAGCTGGAATTGGAGAATAAAAGGGGAAGAACTTGCTCTGCATTCCTGAAACTGAGAGAAATTAAAAACTTAAGCCTTGAGTCACAATATGGAAAGATGCTACAGGCAATATACTGAATCATCCAAGAAGCATCAAAGGAAGATGGAGGGAATAAACAAAGTCACTCTACCAAAAAGAACTAACACTGAAAAATTTCAGGAAGTACCATGTGAGCAGGAGCTAATGGTAATAAAGGGGAAGTGAAAGTAGCATTGAAGACATTGGAGAAAAAACAAGGCCACAAATCAGTATAAAATTTTTAAAAAGAAGGGGGTAAAAAAATGCAACATAAAAAAAATAAGGTCCTAGGAATCTACCAGATACTAATTGACATGTTTCAATTAACAGATGCCAGGAAATTTAGAGGATAGCTGTCTAGCCAATGGACTAGAAGAAGTCCATATTTGTTCCCATTTCCAAGAAAGGTAATCAAACAGAATATGAAAACTATCAAACAATATCATTAATACCACATACAAACAAAATACTCCTGAATATCATTCAAAAACAGCTACAACAGTGCACAGATAGGGAATTGTTGAAAGTAAGGAATACCAGAAAAATGTCTCTTTATGTTTTACTGACTATGCAAAAGCATTTGACTGTGTGAATCACAAAAAATTTTGGCCGACATTGACAAGATTGAGAATCTCAGAGCACTTAATTGTGCCTGTGTAAAATCTATACCTAGACCAGGAGGCTATTGTGTGAACAGAGCAAA